GTTAATTTCAATTCTGTCGCGTACGCGAACTATTTTTGAAATTTATCTATTAAATTAACTGCGACCAATGCAGTATAATTGCATTAGAGTTTGTTCGAGTAAAGTTGTATTTTTATCTTTAAACAGTCGCACAGACTGTTCGCGTATTAGAGTCAGTGCATCAATGAAGATTTTAAATTCAACGCGTTTCGGGATTAAAATAAAGTGTGAAATTAGTTAGTTTCAATAGACTGTGTGCAAAGCAGTCTTTGAATCAGTTGTAAAGTCAGTGAACGGGCGAGTAATAAGTTAAAATCAAACGCGAATTAGATTCAGTGTTGTTCGTCGTATAATTTAATTCCGGTATCGCGATAAGAAACTCATCTATAGTTTCTTATTTTCGTTTATACCGCGTCATTAGATTCACGCGAGGTGCATCGCCATGGTGCAATTGAGTTTCATCCCATTGTAATGCATTGTAAGTATTTATTTTTATTAACATTTTATTCGTTTTTGTTTGATATGATTTTGGATCATATTACATATAACTTATCATTTTGTTCTATTTTATATTACAGATATGACGACGGACTTTCTAGCTTATCAAAGATGTGGGATGAATTCTTCGATGGATCATCGATCGTTCATCGATGGATCTTCGATGGATCTTCGATAGATATTCTTCAATACTTGCTGCAAAGTAGGAGTGTTTTGGAGCCATCGTAGAACTTCTTACGGAGTGAGTCAAAAAATTGAAAGTCCCTCCGGTGCTCAATCATGTCGAGGATGAAAGGTCCTAATCGGCACAAGTTACTGGTTGTAATTATTCCAATAAATTAATGACGAGCACATGAGTAATTCCTTTGTAGGAGTTACTCATGAAAATTATATTGTATTGTATATTGTATTGTATATTTTATGATATTAGTTCAGGATAGGTTTTCTTGTCTCACCGATGTTAAATTCATTTAATTAATAATGCAAATAAATAATGCACTTTCTTTTTATTACGTGTTTCGTTCGTGGTTAGCAATGATGAAATCGAGCATTAATTTACTCGTTTTCGTCCAGAAAAGCATGTAATAAATGTCTTACATGCATTGCCTCGTACTTAGTTTATCTAATCGCGATTAATTTCGATATATCG